ATTCGTTTCATAACAGGTGCATAATGTGAACCACGGAAGCTGCCTCTGAGTCTATGTCTTTGGGTTATCTCTAGGTGTTAACACATGGATCATCTCCACTGACAGAGTTAACATAGAAAGGCCCTCCACTGCTGGTAATGTGACCGTAATTATGTCTTCACCAGCGTTGTTTGTACCACGCTGCATTCCATCGTAGACATTTGTCTTACCATGTCGACTGAAGCCAGAATACGTGTTGGTGGTGTCACTGAGGTGCGAGAGACCATCATCTATTGGGGGGTCCATTACTGGTAATGCTTTTCACACCATAATGAACAGATGTTCCAGTATTCGATGAATTGTCATGCTTCTTTCTGGATGGCTTCACTACCATGCTGCAGTGATAAATATTTTACAATGTACACACATGTTCAACAACAGACAGTACAGAACCAAAGTGACACTGGGTCTGATATGTGCATTAAAGACAACATGAAGTACTTACATATATATGACGAGGGCTACAATGATGAGTACCAGAACACCACAAACCACAGATAAGGCTATCACAACATGCCCACTGTTGCCTGAAACATATGTGTATTGCAATTCGTTTAGAAAATGTGCGCAGTCTTGCGGACCTCTGCAGGCATATGTTTCAGTTCACTGCTCAGCCTTGGATTCACCGTTTTAAGAATGTAACAATAGATATTTAGAGAGTAGCTGAATCCCACTTGAACATGAATTGGGAGAATCTTGGATTCGACCTCGTGGCCATCGGATGTTGGCGCGGAATGTAAGTGCAATAACGGATTCAGTTACCCCTATTCCTTTCAATGTTTCTGATTTATTCGTATTTAACGTTGACACTATGCAATCAAGAGGAGCTTCAGGTGTACAAATTCTACAAAATCCTCAGTTTTCATTTACGTGGTGGCTTTCACATAATATTCATAAGAGCCTCGCTGACTACGTCATAATAGGTCGATGATCATTCTGCTTATCAATGGACTGTCTGGTCGAGACTCGATTCTTTACACACCGCTGCCATATAGCTGGAATAATGGTGAGTGTGATGGTCAACTACAAACAAAGGTTATCAAATCTACCACTGTTTAATCGTAAAATATGTGTTCATTTTATTTGCGACATCCTCCCAAGTGATCGCGAACAGCTGAAAGGAAAGTGTAAATCCTGCTGCGATACCATGCATGTTGTAGGGGGAGAACACGTACCATGGTTTGGCCACCCTGTCTGTGGTTGCTTGCCATTAACGTGTTTTACCCTGTTCTTATATTGTATTGACAATAAAAGTTAAAACTTTTAATCGAGATTTCGACGTTTTTAATCTTACCTTTAAGACATCAAGCTGTATGACGAAAAAACATTTGGTTTTCTAACGTTTTTCAATTTCAGTACAATCACGAAACAGAACATTTCCCCAAACTACGATCATGCGGATGTTATACGTAAAAATGCCATTAGACCGACCTGTAACGATTCTACGAACTATGAAGAGTCCGATGTCGCCCGTGGCCACTACAGCACAGACACGGGAAATGTGGCTCACGGTGACACCAACCCTACCAAAAGCTACCAACAACATCTCCGCCAGTTCCTGAAAAGGAAACAATTCAGTTCTGCAATCTATGAAGATTTGGATGGACATCTCGGAATTGAAATGCGAGAACCAACTCCGTGTAAAACCGATGTCCTCAGTTCACACTCAGATCCCCCAAACAGGACAGCTGTCACTTCCACAATTTATGAAGCGTCCGATGTAGTCTTTGGACACCTGGGAGTGGAAACATCAGAACTGCCTCCGTGTAAACCAGATTCTACCAACAGCTCAATATTTTACATCTATCAGTTTGGGAAAAGAAATGACATCACTTCTGTAATTTATGAAGCGCCAGATTCCAGGGTATCTGGACATGCTGGACTGGCCGATGCTGCTTCAAGCTCCTACTCCGCCTTGTGTCAGCTGGGAAGCAAGGAGGAGGAGCACGACTACTCAAAGTTGCATCAGTACGATACTGTGACAAATGAGGAGCATCTTCGAGAATAGATGCAGCTTGGTATGTACAGTGATCCCAGGAACCTTAACATTTGGAGAGTCGACAGGGCAGAGCGTTCCAAGAAACCATATTAATTAAAGTCACTCAGCTTAGTTGACCAGAAGGTGTTGTCATCAAAACTGGTTTTGCCAAACGTGACACTCACCAAACATTAGCCATATGTAAATATATTGTTACACCACTATTTTTAATCCAGCATTTATATTCAACTCTCTCTAGCACAAAAACCATTTTTCGAACATGTATTTTATATTTATCTTTTATATTAATATTTGTATCTTTTTTGTCCACACAAAATAGAAATAAAACAGAATTATATTATTATCTGTTACGTCGTTATATCGGTACATATTGCAGTAAAATAGTAGTCGATAGTACCACATTCAGCATTCTACAAGTGTTGAGTTATTAAATTAGAGCATTTTAAAGACTATAATTCCAATTTAATATATTTACTTAAAACTTTCACGGATGCAATTTAGTTGTGAAATACGCAGTTACGAAGGTTTACAAGTATCACATCCCAACATTAATGCAACATGCGTTGTGTTCAGTGCCCCGTGTTACAGTTTTAGTGTTAGTTTTTTGGTGTACAAGGAAAACTGGATCAATCACGAATTATGTGTTCTGATACCCACTACCAATGTGGGACTTGTCAAGTATAAATCCTTTCAAAAAAGGCATATTAGGAGTTCATTGTTAAGCTCTATCTGTTTGAAACTGCATTTCATTATGACGTGAAAGCTGGCAACAATGATTTACACTTCCTTGTCAACTACCCACCTTTCACGGTGGTAAATCAACAATGGTATTCAGCTAATTATCTGGGAAACCTTTATCACAAAAGTGCGACACATTTTTCCTCCTGACAAATTTACTTGCACATGTTAGAATGTTGCCTTCATCAGATACTGTATACTATGATATATTGAAATTTGGAGAAATCGCTTGCCAAAAACGTTTCCGTCCATTACTCTTTTCCATCTTCAATTGGTCTAATACTGACGAATAGGATATGATCGTGAATTCTTGTTCGATTTGTTTGTTCCATCAATGAACCTAAAAAAACGAATCGGCATGTGCCTAGGTGTCAGTGCCCTCTGACCAGTTGTCTTAATTATCTCAGTTTCTGTAACAAGAGTGGGGCTGTTCTGACCAAGTAGCATCGAGACTCATTTGCTGTACGCCATGTCGAGTTAATGATTGGCGGTATTACCCACCACTGACAAAGGTCAGTTTGAAATTGCCCATCTTAACCTCATCGTCTTTCAACACGGTTGGCAGCCATAGCAATTGCAAGTACTGTCATGCTCCACATAATGTGCTAAGAATCAAGTTTTTCACAAATTAGGAAATTGTAAGTTGTTTCCGATTCGTATATGCACGAGGGCGAGAACCCCATGCGAGAAAATTGACATCAAACATATCTATGACATGGAATTCCAGATCCGTGATAAGATACTCCATAACGATGGCTTAATATCATATTATAACGGACAGCATTCCTGATTTTTACATAATTGATACTTTCATGTAATCCAAATGGATAACGTATGATTGCATTTGATGATAATACATGCGCCTTAATAGGAACATCATAATCCCCTGCTATTCAACGAAACATGTGATTCGCAACTCAAATGGTTGTCTCTTAAATCGGTGACTGATTCGCCACTGCTTTCCCTCTCTTTTCTAGTTTTGTTTTTCATGTGAATATAATTTGTCTTAATGCAAACCCTGGATATACCATTCTCATCTGCCAATGGTTAATGAGGGTCATTCTAGCACACTCGTCCAAGTTCAGCCAAGAGCTCCATCCGACTATCCGCTGTCAGGTAAGCTCACTGACATATTTCGGAGCAATGATGGCAATAAAAACTTGAATGACACACAAACGTGTCATATCGAGCTGAAGCATCATGTTTGGACATACAAGATGTAAAATGAAATTATGTCCATTTAGGTGCTCCCTTTGTAACGGTGGAGTTGACTGTCGGTTCAAGATATACCCGATACCCCCATGAGACAGGTGTCCCCTCAACCGAATCTTACCATTTACTATATCAGCATCTCCATTAAATTAGCAACATTAATAGTGTATCTAAAGCCATTGTATGCTAAGAGATTGTGGTAGAACGGACGAATCCTAATATATGTAGAAAGAAGGTTTGGAGTTAATACTTCACACATCACATATTCTCTCTTATAAAGAACGTTGGTTGGTTTCAAATTTCGTATACAGTTTTCGTATACAGGTGCATATATGGTAGATACAACTGCAGCTACTGCTGAATAGCACCAGTTTCTCTGTTGGATATATGTGTTAACGGATGAATCGCCTCCACTGACAAAATATGGAACATGGGACATATTTTTAAGTGATATAACATACAAAAGAACGCTTAGAGTATATACTTTACACGCACACATTCGTTTCATAACAGGTGCATAATGTGAACCACGGAAGCTGCCTCTGAGTCTATGTCTTTGGGTTATCTCTAGGTGTTAACACATGGATCATCTCCACTGACAGAGTTAACATAGAAAGGCCCTCCACTGCTGGTAATGTGACCGTAATTATGTTCTTCACCAGCGTTGTTTGTACCACGCTGCATTCCATCGTAGACATTTGTCTTACCATGTCGACTGAAGCCAGAATACGTGTTGGTGGTGTCACTGAGGTGCGAGAGACCATCATCTATTGGGGGGTCCATTACTGGTAATGCTTTTCACACCATAATGAACAGATGTTCCAGTATTCGATGAATTGTCATGCTTCTTTCTGGATGGCTTCACTACCATGCTGCAGTGATAAATATTTTACAATGTACACACATGTTCAACAACAGACAGTACAGAACCAAAGTGACACTGGGTCTGATATGTGCATTAAAGACAACATGAAGTACTTACATATATATGACGAGGGCTACAATGATGAGTACCAGAACACCACAAACCACAGATAAGGCTATCACAACATGCCCACTGTTGCCTGAAACATATGTGTATTGCAATTCGTTTAGAAAATGTGCGCAGTCTTGCGGACCTCTGCAGGCATATGTTTCAGTTCACTGCTCAGCCTTGGATTCACCGTTTTAAGAATGTAACAATAGATATTTAGAGAGTAGCTGAATCCCACTTGAACATGAATTGGGAGAATCTTGGATTCGACCTCGTGGCCATCGGATGTTGGCGCGGAATGTAAGTGCAATAACGGATTCAGTTACCCCTATTCCCTTTCAATGTTTTCTGATTTATTCGTATTTAACGTTGACACTATGCAATCAAGAGGAGCTTCAGGTGTACAAATTCTACAAAATCCTCAGTTTTCATTTACGTGGTGGCTTTCACATAATATTCATAAGAGCCTCGCTGACTACGTCATAATAGGTCGATGATCATTCTGCTTATCAATGGACTGTCTGGTCGAGACTCGATTCTTTACACACCGCTGCCATATAGCTGGAATAATGGTGAGTGTGATGGTCAACTACAAACAAAGGTTATCAAATCTACCACTGTTTAATCGTAAAATATGTGTTCATTTTATTTGCGACATCCTCCCAAGTGATCGCGAACAGCTGAAAGGAAAGTGTAAATCCTGCTGCGATACCATGCATGTTGTAGGGGGAGAACACGTACCATGGTTTGGCCACCCTGTCTGTGGTTGCTTGCCATTAACGTGTTTTACCCTGTTCTTATATTGTATTGACAATAAAAGTTAAAACTTATAGTTACACATATTGTTTAATAATCGTACATATGCAGCTCATTCAAGCAATGTTCACCTTAGTAATGTTAAAGGTCCTGAGAAAGGATAAATCAGCAGAAATTGCATATGCACATCACACTGAACACTCGAATGTACAATACTGCAAGCTGACAGTTTCGTTAATTTATCTGAGAGTCACCAAATATACAATATACGTGACATTTGTATCGTAAATCTGCACTGGAAGGTAACGTTTCCGATCGGCTTATAGTACAGATTCCGACCACCGAGCGCCTTTTTTTGGTTTACGCCTTCAGACAACGACCGAATGCATTACAACCTTCTGATCAGTAGTTCTTAAGCATGGTACACATCATATCGACATTAAATGACTAAACTACCCAATGGCTGTGTGTATTTACAGGCGATGGAAAATTGTAGTGTAAACAAACCGTGAGGAAATGCGTGTAATCGCGTATGCTCACCTGTCTCTGTAGTTGAAACTGTTGTTGATACCATCGTCGTTGATTTGGGAGGCCAATGTGTTACAATAATCCCTGTCGAGCGAGTAGCAACTCCACGCGTAGATGTAGCGGTCTCACAGGACGCTGCAACTTAAGATGTTCTGATCAGATGTAGTTCAAAGGAAGATAGACTTGTATATGGTAGCCCTGATTGTTTTTATTTATGTATTATCTTTTTTTCATACGCATTAAATATACCGGTACATCGGTCCATGAAAAGATGTAGATACATTATTAAACCTAAATTAATTTAAATGCATAAGTGCTGTTGCCCTACAAAATGAAAACATTGTATGGTCGCATTAAGTCAAATTAATTTAAATGTGGTGTCATGATACATATTAATATACTTTCATTCATTTACAACCTCCAAAACAAGAAAAAACATGATATATTTTGAGCAAAAGTAAATATTCTTGCCCATGGGCCAGACTGTTTGCCCGGGGAGGGGGTCGACCTCATTGTAGAGTGTATACCCAGGCCTTACAACGTAGCACACACTCACCAATTGCTGTAGAATGTGCACGTGTCGTTGTTTCAGTTCTTGGTGTATCCGAAGTAATTGGACCGGATGTACTCTGTGAACGTGACGGATGATGTGTTGATGTAGCTGTGGTTGATGCAACCGGTATTTCTCGGGTTATCGTTATGTTCATCTGACCTGAATCTTTGAACAAGTTCTTTCTGTAGCAATCTCTAGGTCCGAGTTGTCTGTTTAAGAGGGACACTAGCAGAGCATGGAGAAAAGTAGAGCCAGATGTTATATATTTAAGGAGGAATAGGATGCAAAACACCTGTGACTACATTACGCTAAGTATAGGGATGGCATCAGATCATATTTAAATGTTAATTGAATGATAAATAGTTACATGAACAGAATAAATACTTATAGCTGCTATTATTTCACGGGAAAAGTCAAAATATACATTTATTTATGCATTACATACCAGCAACACGTATCCATAGATGTGATCCATCCTGATCATGGTTATCATAGACTTTAACTATTTCGGCAGCTGGTCCCGGTAATACCCTATTGTACTGGACCGTGTTCACGTTTGTCCAGAGTTGTTTCCCGTCACCTGAGATGTTCAGCATCCCTGACGTCATCCGCTGTTCCACCAATGTTACTTGTAAAGTCTGCCCTGTGATCCTAACAACACAGCTGCTGTTCACACCGACACTGTCAGGGAAGCCGGGAGAATGGAGGTACACCGACCCGTTTACTGTTGTTGTGACTGGACCACACATGTTCATACTACCTGAAACACAATGAGCGAGTGAGTTAACATATAACGTCACGTCGGCAATATGTCAGCCATATAGTGACGAGTGAAACACAATGACATATGACAAATAGAAGAACAGCTGTGTTTACTGTTTACTGCTGTATCTTCTGACAACAAAGCTAATTTTCATCCAAAATTGGCTTTCAAAGGAAACAAAATCGTACACTATATATATCTTATCACAGCTGATTTCAGTTTTCATGACTTGGCTGACATGTCTTTTGTATTTGAGTCCATGTGACTGATAAATGCCATGTGACTGATAATTTATATGTCTAGTTTCGATTATCCGCAGACAAAAACATGGTCTCTAAAATTACGTGGCTCATTTAGCGTCTAATATCAACCGTGTTGGAGCGCCTAAATGATCAGCAAACTTATTTCCTTATATTAAACTCATTTGAGCCAGGGAAAATCATTCAAGCGACTGATACACAAGTACTTGTTGTGGGGACGGCTGGTACAATTTTGTAGTGTTGTCCATGACATACTGTCAGTCATTCATTGACTGTGAAATCGAGAAAGTCAGTTCGTCAAAGATCCTGCAGTACGAAAGTAACAAAATAGACATACGACGACACCAAGGCATCTAAGTTCGATTAGTGCCCCTTAGTAGCAGAAATAATAACAGATATTTCACGATCTGTAAAAAAAGTCACGAAAGGTGGGAGGAATTATATATCAACCGTGGGCAGAATCAAAATCATCTCCTCCATATTTTTGTAAGTAAGAGAAAATAATCGAATTTTAACAACTTGTATATGTACAAATAAAAAATGTTATTGTACAGAAATGAGTTATCTATTAATCTTCGACCACACAATAAGCATGTCATGTAAAATCGACCTTTACGTGAGTTAGTTGGGTTTTACGCCGCTTTTCTAGTAATATCACGGCGGGGGACACCAGAAATGGGCTTCACGCATTGTACTCATGTAGGAAATCGAACCCGGGCCGTCGGCGTGACGAGCGTACGCTTTAACCACTAGGCTGTCCTAACGCTCCACGCCCATGTAAACAAAACCATATTTGTATATACTGTCAAGTAGCGTGTTTAAGTGCATGATGCGTAACGTTACCATCAGAGGGAAACAGGGAAATTGTCACAACTTGTATAAACGTTTGACGTCACTGTGTTGTAGTAGCAATACGTTAGAAATTTTAGGAAAAACGTAGATAAACACTTTTGTATCGATAATTGCGAACTGATATACATACACTATTATAGTTTCTTGTAGATAATCTTTCTGTGGGGGCGGTGGGGTAGCCTAGTGGTTAAGGCGTTCGCTCGTCATGCCGAAGACCCGGGTTCGATTCCCCACATGGGTACAATGTGTTAAGCCCATTTCTGGTGTCCCCCGCCGTGATATTGCTGGAATATTGCTAAAAGCGGCGTAAAACCAAACTCACTCACACACAATCTTTCTGTGCTTATGTGATTAAAATATTTTAAAAGTTCAGATAATACTATTGTCACAGACTAAACCATTTCAATAAGTTTCTTTATAACTTCATATATTCAAACGACATAATTGTTTCAATATGTATCCAAAGTACACCGAAATTCTATCCCCTTTGTCTGTTTAATGCATTCAACAAACATTCGGTGAATGCCCTCTTATCATTAACACCTCCTTACGTCGGGGGATCTTACGTATGTGCATAGGTCAGTGACCTGACATGGTCAGTCAGGGAGACCAGTCAGGGAGACGAGGCGAGGAGACGGGCCCAGATCATCCACAGAAGCGAACGGATTGTGCGGCAGGACGGGGCGTCGACCAAGGCCATCGCCTCACCAACGACTACGCCGACGATGAAAAATCGCCGCCCGACTACTGCCTGTGCGTGTAAGTGATAAAGCGAGTGTCCGCACCGGGAACATAGGGCAAATGTTACAATTCGATCGCAAATAAATGTACTCCAAGTACCGAATAAAAATGGTTGCAGTACAGAACCATTCACAGAATATTGGCAATCAGACATTTCCTCTACAAAATCAACTTTGTGGATAGCCCTAAATGTACCTTTTTGCAACGATTATGACAAAACAATTTATCATATCGTAGGGGAGTGTGACAAGGTGAAAAGCATATGGCGTGAAATGAAAATATGGCTCAGAACTGTAGACGTAGAATTGAGTTTTACAAATCCCCAGGTACTGTTTGGGATTAAAGGAAAGCATAAATATGCATTAAATCGGATAATTATTTTAGCCAAGAATATCATATACAACTGTTGTAAGAAAGATTTCACTCCAAATATTTCATACATCAAGACACAAATCATATGATATTATAATACCACAAAATATGTATACATTAATCTTGACCATGAAGCCTACTTCCTAAAACTATGGTCCAGTTTACACAATCATGCTATATAGAAGCGTTGAGAAGGTAAATTATTTCGATGTACATGTAACAATGTTATTGTTGTTAAAACTGAATTCGGGGAAATAGAATTAGCAGGATACTGACTAAAGGCGTTACCTTAAGTGTGACAAGTGAGTCGATCTGCCACGGCGTCCATGCCATCGAACCAGAAAACAGCTTCTTTCTTATCGGAATCAGTGCTAAATGAATTTTTGATCCACGCATTCCTAATCAGTCCGAAAGGTTTTTCCCTGTATCCGATGCTGAGATTGACACATTTCATTGACTCGGAATCTGACTAGAGTTATCCTTCTTGGAAATGCTGTACTGTACTTGGACCAGTTACGTGACTGTAACACGCCTTCCACAGAACAAAATGTTGTTTAATCTTCCAACCTGCTGGGTACAGAAAACCTTTTCTACATGAATTCGTGGGATGGTTGTCTTTTAGATTTCCAAACCGTTGACTTTCCCCCAAAATTGACAGGTTTTTGCCAAAGTGTGTTTCAACACTACACCATCACCCTGTCACTAGATACACGTCAGTCGTGAATGAACGATGTTCCGGCGCACTGACTTGATCAAACAACGTTTTAGCTGTTATAACGTTCAATGATGTTGCATTTAAAAGATCAATTTTATCATATTAACAAATGTTAATAAATTATTCCATAGAAAATCTTTTGTTGTATTTTAAAGCGATTTTATGAGGTACTATTTTCCATAGCGTTGTTATGTTATTACCGCTGGAATTTAATACGCGGATGAATACGAATCAGCTGATCGAGGTCACAAGTCTGTCTCCGGGTGTTTTTTTTATTTCGTGGTTCTTCTTTTTAAACTACATTATGGGTAATAAATAGAATAACCAACTCGGTACGAGTGATTACGGGAAATATGCCCTCGTTAAAATAAAGTTCAATGCCTCGCCAAGGCTCGGCACTGTGAACATTATTTCAACTCGGGCATATTTCACATAATCACTCGTGCCTCGTTGGTTATTCTCTAAGTATTGAACTGTATACATTTACATATGTCAACCTGTATATATGCCTGAAAAAAGCGAAATCAAAAAGCAAACAAAAGCACATAGGCCACTCTGCCCCGGTGTACGTTCTGTCACGTCTTTACTATCAACTTGTACCATTTCGACCATTATTCGACCAACCATAAAAAACATGGCTGCTGCTGTCATTCACTCTTCTTCCCTTCTTCGTATGGTCTATGTTTGACCTGCATAGCGATAACGGGTTCCTGTGCTTTGAACGTAGCTCTTGTTGTTAACCATTTTCCTCAGACTCGCAAGGGTACATCCACGAATGTACAACCTCACGAACTGCAAATTATTGATGTTTCTACTGACATGCGGGATCGAGCCTACCTGTGACCGGGTGTAAAAAACCTTGAAGTCAACTTTGTGTGCAGACTCTTTCAGTGTTGTCACAACCCCTAGTGTACAGTACACAACCCTGTGCACTTAAAAGAACCCACGAATCCGTTGCTATATGACCAGATGGTGGCCACATGAATACGTGCAAACACCTAGTTGCGGGTACAGCAACGTACAGTAAACACGGACAAAGTACTGTGACTATGTGTCCCAGTCCACCCAGCTGTGAATGGGTACCTCGTAAGGATGGGAATGCCACAATAACTCGGTGCGCCTAGTGGCTGCAAGAGTTGTATGCTTCCCAGGGGGGTTGAGATTGACAATACGATGCGCCGTTGAGATTGACATCCAGTGAACGAGGGAAAAACAAAGCGCCTTTGAGCAGCTGGATATCCGTGCTATACAAATGTTAGTATGTATGTATGTTTGTATGTATGTATGTATCCGTCAACCATCCTGAACTACCTTCCGAGAACTCCCCAACGAATGCTCTTGGTCACTATCAAATACAAAATGTCATTATGTTTGTTGGTTTGTTTGCTGTTTAACCTGGCATTCGGTAATATTTCTTCTTTATAAGGTCTGGTAGGGTTTGACCAATCGAGTGATTGACATCATGAGCATCGATCTACGCAGTTTAGTTAAAATGACGCCTGCCCGTCAGTCACTTCTTACATCAAGTATGGGTTGGTGAAAACTAATTTAAACTTAGATCACTTTTATGTAATTTCGTGCATTATTTCCATGCGTCAATGATAAAGTTTTGTATGGCCGTTGCACATGTCATCCCAGTTTTCCATCTCTAATAAAGATCACACTGAGAATATAGTTATTTAATCTTTAGCAGACATCCTGAAGGCAAACTGAATTTTGATACACCTGTAATGCATGTCAGTAGAAACATCAATAATTTGCAGTTCGTGAGGTTGTACATTCGTGGATGTACCCTTGCGAGTCTGAGGAAAATGGTTAACAACAAGAGCTACGTTCAAAGCACAGGAACCCGTTATCGCTATGCAGGTTAAACATAGACCATACATCTACACACATCTAAATAGAGTAGCACTATATTTATATACATGACGTGTGTGTAGATCTATGGTTTATGTTTATCCTAGATAGCGACAACGGGTTCCTGTGGTTCAAAGCCGTAGAGGACGGTGATAGATCAGTAAACAAACATTAAAACCATTCGATCTTTATCGGCTTACAACTTGTATGGATGTCAGGAAGCTAATCTAAAGGAGCCAATACAATGTCATGTGTCAATGTATTGTGATGTGCTGACAGCGCAATTACAGCTGAGGTTATGTACATACTGTACGTCAGGATCGAATATCCAAGAATGGCACCTTATGTGACTGCTATATGCAGCCATATTAAGCTGATGTCTCACCTTTGATGGATTTGATTCACTTCAGCAGCAGCAACGGTAACATTGCAGTTGTTAATGAGTTGTACCTTCATGGCTTCACGACAGTACTGCTTCCCATTACAATTGACGACTAGGCCCTGCTGGCTGCTGGCGAGAAACTTATTGCACGACCCAGCAGATTTCACACGACATGTCGCTGTATCTCCATCCCCATACACCTCGTGCAAGACATGTATCCATTCACCGACAAAACACTGAAGCTGTACTGTAAAGCTTTTCGACAAGTCCTCTATACATCTGTCTCCAGTTCTGGTGACACCAGAAGATAATAATTCGTTTAATGTCATCTATGCCGGGCTAAGTATGATCCTATTTTGGAGTCACCTTCGAATGTAAAGTATACTTAGCATAATATAGCTGCATATATTACTCTTAGATAGTAACACAATGCTATCTCTGGTAAAACCCAATTTGTTTTGAGTCAGCGAATATACAAAGAGCGTGCGTAATATTTATGAATATTTATCATATGTAGCAAGATTACTTATCGTGCGAAATCAATTAGTTGGGTTGTAAAGTTGGGTTGAGTTCATTCTCTTGCTGTGGATTACAACATAATAAATCATCTGTTGTACTGACAGTAATGTATGAAGGTTGTCAAAACCATTCATTTCCAGACGAAGCTACTTACTCTATATCTTCTTTGGTATTGCCACGTTTAGGTATTCGTTCTTCTTAAATCGGATAACTACGACTAAACCAAATAAGCCTGCTTCTGATTTATCTTGACCTGTATACTAAGAAAGCATCAAAACATACTCTGCTTTCAATAAAGTGTAAGTGTAACACTGCCGGCTTGTGACGAGGGACCAGAATCCACTGATCAGTGCAGAACACCGCCCCAGCACCCAATGCGTTTCTATATTTGTCTACACGAAACACGTACATGCGGGTTTCGCCCGTTCATGTAGGAAGCATCTACGAATCACCTGTTTACCTGACACAATAACTGGACGTGTTGTGACATTACTGAAATGCGGAACTGATAAACGCACTTCATTTGGTGCAGGAAAATCCTTCATACCTACACGCCCAGTAGGAGATATCTATCCATCAGAATGTCCTAGCATATACAAGACATAATAATGTTAATACCGAGTGAATACAGTCTTATACTGGCAAGAAGGATATTTAAGACAGTTTTAACAATGACGATTTTTTAACAAAATACGATTTTTATGCAAGGTTTTCAAATGGTATGTTTGTGTACTATATGTGACTACTATATATACATTTGGTATAGCTATTTATCTATTTCAATTATTCCTAATTCATAATGTTTATGCCTCAAATCATATGTTTACGTGTAATGCCTGGTAGATATGTCTGGGAGGTCATCGACATAGAATCAGGAACATAACCAGCTGCAATGAGCGTGCAAGGTTTAGACGAAACTGTGGTAGAGGTCATTCGACATGATGTCAACCTCCTCCTTAGCTGATCCCGCTGTGTTGATATCTTGGGTAGCTGAAACAGACACATCCTCACATTCACCAATCTGCTCTGCAACTTTAGTGTCATATCCAGAACTCTCATATATATCATTGTCAACCATCCCTTTAACTGTACAGCCACTGACATCTTCTTCTCCATGATACAAGTCATCTTCAGGCATGCTTTCTTCAGCCTTGTTGCCGTCATCTGGACTGACATCATGGTTCTTTGTAGTAGGAGGTCCCCCATTGTATACATCGTTGTCGGTCACATGACACGTTGATTTTGTACTGTTTCCACGATCAAAGAGAAACATGTCTATTGATTCAAGTTGATCAGTGTCGGCTTTCAGGTCACCTGTTCCAGGTGATACAGTGTTCTCAATATCTCTCTCTTCATTCGAGCCAGTCAAGTTACCTGGTGACTGAATATATTTCGGTTGCTTCATCGTAAATCTGTTGTTATCATTCATGTTTAATCTGGAGCTACGTGACAAGACTGTAGAGAACCCGTCCTGTATTCGGAGCGCTGGTTCGTTATTTGCCTCTTGAATCTGCATTTAATGACAAATCCTCATTTCAAGGCACAAATGTTGGATCTATGATGAAATAATGTTGGCTGCCATCATGCGTTCGTGAACCATTATGTTGTTTGAACGGAATGAATTTTATTGGTGGAGCATTGAGTGCCTGAGTGAGTGCGGTTTTACGCCCCTCTTAGCAATATTCCAGCAGTATCCCAGCGGGGGACACCAGAAATGGTCTTCACGTATTGTACCCATGTGGGGAACATTTTGATGTCTGATTGGGAGACTGCCTAGTTTAAAACAGTTCCAAAGGAAGGAAAATGCCAACATTACGAATCACCAGGTTTGTGTAGACACTTTTACTTGCCACTCCTAAGCTTAACTGCCTAGATTTTACTTCCATAGAACATTTAGTGTATACAAATTGTCTGGTCCAGACTGGATTAGTTACAAACCGCCGCCATATAGCTGGAATAATGCTGGGTGCGACATAAAGCTAAACTCACTCACTCACTCATTGTATACAAAACAGTTGGGAAATGCTGTTACTGGCTTTCTCATATTGAGTAATAACATCACTGTTTACCTCGTCGTGATATTTACAGGAAAATCAGGGTACAAAGTAAGGACAAAGCACCATTCGGGTTATCATACCAGGAAAGTTTATTTACATATTGATGTAAAGAAAAGAAACTGTATGTATTATTATTGTCCACGACTGGTGGATTATTGGCTGCACGTGTACTATATCTGAATAGCGGCACCTGATATACATGTAGCAACCTTCATGTTGTAAATAGGTACAGAGTTACGAATCGGAACACTATTGGCGCAACTGTGTGAATTATGTAGTTTCCCTGATAAGTATGAACATCTTATGTCATTCCTGGAAAACATTTTGTCTAAGTGTTGTACATGTTATTTTTGTTTAGACCCCGACACAAAGAATCCAGATGGCCTTACTACCTGCTTCACCATGGCTAAGAACCCTGCCATCAAGACTATGTAGTTTGGATCTTGTTTCTAAGTTCAAAACTCTGTGTATGACCAGCTACGTTTCAGCATAAAATACTTCTTGAATCACAATAACCAAACTTTTAAACAAATTAACCACATGACGTGATCTGTGTATTTATTACTCTCACAGAATTTCTGCATTAACATAGAACATTTCGTCATCAACAACAGTAACAAGCCGCATGTTCCATGTCAAAGTAACAGGACTTGTCCACATGATACTTGTTTTAATAAGACATATTTGAAATTAGCGCTGTGAGCGACTATCTGTTCTTAAAACTGTTCATTTAGTTGAATTAGTAACTAAACGTATGGATGGTGGAAAAGGATGAGTCATGAGTAGTGAAGCAGATAAACTAAATGCATTGAAATTTCGCATTTATCAAGCATGTGACTGATCAGGTGATAAATGAGACTTTAATAAAGGAAGGTAAGGAATAATTATATCTGAATACTGTAAAGCATAATGTGTTATATGAAACATATTTTCACCGTTTACAGCAATAGTGCACAAAGAAACGTTTAGAATATAGACTTTATAAGCACATATTCGCTAACGCCTTTCATAAAGAACGTTGATTGATTTCAACGTGACTATACAGGTACATAATGATTTATGTTACTATATCTACGACTGAGTAGCACTAAGTTCTAGGTGTTAACATATGGATCATCTCCACTGACAGAGTTAGCATAGAAAGGCCCTTCACTGCTGGTTATGTGGACGTAGTTATGTTCGTCAACAGAGTCGCTTGTGTTGCGTTGAATTCCATAGTAGACATTTGTTTCACCATGCCCAACAGACGTTCCTGTTTTCGGTGAAGTGTTATTTTTTCTTCCTGAATGGCTTCACCAGCATGCTGCAGTGATGAACATTTGACAATATACACAATTGATAATATTATGTTCAACAGCAGAAAGTAAAGCAAAATACCATAGTGGTGTCCTAACTGCCGATTGGGCGACAGTAAACAGTTACCTATTGACATGGCCGTCCACATTGTCAGGGGAGATGTAAGCTCAAGCTACATTCGCTTGGTCCGTTGGGGGATGCTACGTCAAGGAGTGAGGGTCGGACGACCGGGACTTCTAACTAACAACACTGCATTCATGTTCTGGCGCACATTCATACAATAATTATATCAACATTAGGGATATGATAAATAAAGATTTACTCAATCCCTCCCTTCATTACAAGTTGACTCGGACTTCACAGGACAGGGCAAACTCTTTATCAAACGTGGACCTACAACGATCGTGAAGCGAAAGTTCTGCTGACTTTCAAACCCGCACCACTTTGCTAGTGCTGAAAGTATATTTTCAAGGTGTTCGAGCCTGCTCCGCTTAGGCACATATCACATGTGCCGATACAACATTTCTCAATCGTTTAAAGTTAACTCATTCCATGGTCTCATGTTGTACCTTTTGATCGGAGAATTACTGAAAACTATCCGTCGGGTATTCACCGTTAACTAATACTTTAAGAGTCTTTTGGATTTTGTTACTCCCAGTCATTATGTTCTATATACTTTGATTAATTACCAAGCAGTGATAGCATCAATGCTATCACGAAATAACCGCAATTCTCAATAATGGGTTCGTTATACTTTTTTAAAAGATTCATATACATGTAACCTTATAACAGTGGCACTGTGTTTGATATGTGCATTTGAGACAATATGAAGTACTTACAAATATATGACGAGGACTACAATGATGAGCACCAGAATACCACACACCACAGATACGGCTATCACAATATCCCAAATGTTGCCTGAAACAATACGTTCAGAAAATAAGTGCAGTCTTGAGGGCGTCAGCTTGCGTATGTTTCAGTTCTCTGCTCCAGTTTTAAATTAACGATTTAGGAGAATCTTTGATTCGTGGCCATTGGATGTTGGCTTTGATTATCCCGGCAAAAAACATTAGTGTTATAGCCCTTTCAATTACTCCATTGCTTCCTTTCTCTGACATTGTAATACTGTGGGGGTTTTCAACCTGTATACCCGAAACAGTATGTATGTTTGCACAAAACGATTCTTGTTGAGAATGTTTTGGACTTATACTTCCATACAAAATATTATATTTTCCACATAGTTAATCAATGTCATTGTTTTTCCGATTTATTAGTAGGGTTGGATGTTGCAGAGAATTTTCATGTTGCGATAATTTGCGATGCGAAAGCATATATTGCGATATGTATTGCAATATATTGCAAGAAATGTTTTAAAACACAAAAGTACTTATGAACAAGTTAAAACACAACAAATTCACTATGCCTGATTAAGCTTTAATAAAAACTTGTAATTATGATGAAACAAAGAAAAGAAATGTTTTAAAACACAAAAGTACTTACAACAAATTCACTATGCCTGATTAAGCTTTAATAAAAACTTGTAATTATGATGAAACAAGGAAAAGAACAATTTAACATCAACACAGTCGTTACTAGTTTGAACTAGTTTCTCCACTCTCAAAAAAACCCTGAGGTTTAAAACATTCACATCAAAAACATTGCGAAACATTTGAACAAACATTAAGAACACAACTTCAAACCGAACTTAACCCTACTTCCAGTGTGAAAAACGGAAATATTCAAAGATTTCCGAGTGTTACGATGTTTTCCGAATGCATGTCGAAATACCGGTTTTCGAGCAGCGTATCGCCATACGTATCGATTTTAATGTCTGAATCAGTAAATATCGGTAATCCGGTTATATTGAGCAGCCCTATTTAATAGTATAAAGAGATCAAGAGGTACTTAGCTGGGTTGCAAAGTGTACTACTGGGTGCTTGATTGTTTTCACGCCTATAAGACAAAGACTGAATGTATTACAACCCATCTATTACTGTATGGATATGGTGGAGCCAATTGTCTACAACAGTGATTCAGTTGTGGTTGTTTGTACTACAACCCTTCTGTTCAGATGTAGTTCTCACTATATCGACATGAAACTACATAAACTGCCACATAACGTCTCTATGTAGGTACAAGCAATATACGAATATAGTGTGTACATACCGTGAAGAAATGCGTGTTTTTTCGTATACTCACTTGTGTCTGTTGTTGAAAATGTTGTTGATGCCATCGTTGATTTTGAAGTCCACTGTGTTGTTATATTCCCTGTCGAACGAGTAGGTTGTCCACTCGTAGGTGTAACGGCCGTAAAGGACGCTGCAATTTGAGAATTTGTTATCAGATGCAGTTCCAAGGAAGATAGATAAATCATGTATATGGGAGCTTTGTTTCTTTTCATTTATGTATTATCTTTTCGCGGACATTTTGTAAATGTGTTAAATGTAAGTGTGCATCCTTGCATGAAAAGATGTAGATGCATTATTTAAGGTACTTTAAATGCATTGATGATGCTCCGCAGTGAAAACATGCTCAAATAGCGGTCGACCACACAAGTTAATGAACCATGCCCTTCAGTGATGTTCACACTAACACAGGCAAAAACACTAAAAATACATGTATGGGGGTAAATATTCTGCAAGCAGCTGAAAACGTTTGAAGCATGGCGAGGTCCATACAACGCCACTATACACTCACCAATAGATGTAGAATGTGCCGCTGTTTCAGTTCTTGGTGTATCCGAAGTACTTGGACTGGATCTACTCTGTGAACGTGGCGGCTGCTGTGTTGATGTAGATGTGGATGATGAATCCAGTATTTCTCCGCTGATCTTTACGTTCATTTGACCTGAATCTTTGAACAAGTTATTGTTACAGCATTCAGTAGGTTCGAGTTATATGTTTATCGTTAAGAGATACGATTTCTGCATGTTGTGGGAAATTAACAAAAAATAGAGCCACGAAGGGCCATATGTAATTCAGTTAAGGAGGAATAAGGCGCAAAATGCATTACTGTGAATACTGTATGCTAAATATGATTTTGGCATTAGTGTATTAATTGATTGCTACCTGCAACACGTATCCATACATTTGATCCATCCTGATCATGGTTATCGTAGACTATAACTATTTCGGTAGCTGGTCCCGGTAATACCCTGTTGTATTGGTTCACGTTCACGTTTGTCCAGAGTTGTCTCCCGTCACCTGTGATGTCAAGTATCCCCGACCTCATCCGCTGTTCCATCAATGCTACTTCTATATTCTGCCCTGTGATCCTAACAACACAGCTGCTGGTCACACCGACACTGTCAGGGAAGCCGGGAGAATGGAGGTACACCGACCCACTTACTGTTGTTGTGACTGGACTACACATGTTCTTACTACCGGAAATACAGGTACATGGGACAAATATAATAATAGTTGTGTTTACTGTTTACTGTTGTTCCTTCCGCTACCAAATCTATTCATCATCCGAAACTAATTCCATTTGGAGTAAAATGCAAAATGCCAGTAGCCACAGCTACTCAAACAATTTGGATAAAACAAGTAGGTGTTACCTTTTTCTGGACACCCCACATCAGTACTCCTCACATGCCACGACGTCTGCATACACACGGGATAGTGAACTGATGGACGACATTTTTATCAACATATATAGCATCGCATTGAAAGACTTTGTTCAAAGTGTACAAGTGTAGAACTATCTAAGTAAACAAAGACGTTAAACATATATGGAGGCGTGGTGGGCGAGCTGTATAAGGCGCCAGGCTAGTAATCGAGCGAGCTTGAGGTGACGGGATCGAGCCCTCCTGTGACCGGGTGTAAAAACCTTGGAGTCATTTTGTGTGCAGACTCTTTCAGTGTTGTCACAACCCCTAGTGTACAGTACACATCCCTGTGCTCGTAAAAGAACCCACGAATCCGTTGGTAGATGACCAGATGGTCCCCATGAATACGTGCAAACACCTAGTTGCGGGTACAGCAACGTGCAGTAAACTTGGAGAAAGTACTGTGACTATGTGTCCCAGTCCACCCAGCTGTGAATGGGTACCTCGTAAGGATGGGAAAGCCATATTAACTCTGTGTGCCTAGTGGCTGCAAGAGCTGAATGATCCCCAGGGAGCTGAGATTGAGAATACGACGTGCCGTTGAGATTGAATTCCAGTGATCGGGGGAGAAAAACAAAGCGCTTTTGAGCAGCTGAGCTGGATATCGGCGCTGTACATATGTTAGTATAATAGCAAATATATATATATATCTGTTATTCTTTGTAAACCTGATAACTGCCACATTGCGCTTATGGTGAAACTTCGTTCAACCAACGTAAAATCTCGACCTAATACGATTGCTTTGATTATTCGAGGACATTGTCTCTGAAACCACCTAGCTCACGTTGCGCCAGTTAGCAAGCCGATATACAGCAACTCATTTGAGCCAGAAGAAATCATTCAAACGGCACATGCTCTGGTAAAAGCTGTGACTTAACATTAGAAAATAACCACCATCTTACATCTGATTCCCAAGTATGTTTGCCATTCGTGTTTAGATCTTGTAAAAAAAAGGTAATAACTATATGTGAACAAAACCGGCGATATTGCAGTTCCTTTTCCATATTGGCTTTTAGATGGGTACCATGTTGTATATACTGTACATGTATGTGTTCTGTTAATCTTTGCCCAAACGGATGTTTGACAAAAAGCATTTAATGAAATAAATTGACCTTTATGCCGATGTAAACAAAACCGACGACATGGCGGTTCCTATTCCCTGACTTTTAGAGGGGTAAATATGTGTATGTACTTCCAGTAGTGTGCAGATGCATGGGGCGCAATGCTACCATCAACGGGGAAGGGGAAAAGTGTCACAACCTGTATTAATGACAGCACGAGCAACGTTTTAAGATTTGTCATAGTCGGCGACCATTCTGTGTGTGGACTTTGAATTTTGGTGGCAGTCTTGGATTTTTCGGAAAATAGGCCCGTCGATTCGGGCATACAACAAAAATATGTTTTATTGCGATGTTCCCTAGCAATATGCGAGGTTTTCTGCTTTAATCCAGATGGGGTAAGTCATATAGTGTTAGAATTGGAAATCTTTGATTATTGGTGGCCATCTTTGACGCCATCTTGGAAAATGGGCCCAAAACATCGGGCACCACCACAAAATTATGTTTTATCATGATATGTCCCAGCCCTTTGCAAAGTTTCATGCTTTAGTCCTACAGGTATCTATTTTCAACCTTTGCCACTGCACTAAACCACTTAATGTGACAATCAAAACCTTGATCGAAAACGCAATGTACCATGATTCGTAATATGTAACAGAATGCATGGGGTTTAACTATTGACACCTACATGTAGGCATCAATGAATCACTGACTGGCATTATTTAAAGCGTTCCTTGTTGATAATGTCAGTTTGAGATAGTACTACGTATGCGTTAGATCACGAGGACCTGACGTCTAATCGCTGAAATGGTTAGTTGGACCTCGAGTCCGTCGGTCATGCGAGATCCAGGTTAAATATGTTCTTTGAGTCTTTCACACGTGCACCTTGTTCTTTGGCGCCTCGACTTATGAAATGCATGTGCATGTTCCAAGGCAAGTATGTATTCCATCTAGGACCAGCTCGAGCATATTTATATTGTACTGTCATAATCACTTGCTTTTTATGAGATAACAGCGCCCTCAGCGAGTGGATGTTTTCTAAATTTTCGTGTCTTTGAACGAAAAGCTGACAAATCAAACATATGCAGAAAATAACATGAAACGTAAAAAATAAAACAAAGGTATCACCGTGTATAAATAGATAAATTATCTGTAAATAAATATTTACTAGTTACTTTATAAAGATATTTTCATGTCGCCGTGACCGAAGATAACATTCATAAGTCTGTTGGCGACACACATTTTCATTGAAAAAGTGTATGAGCAATGTAGTTCGAAGGGGTAAAGATATTCCTCCATTACTAAAGTTGTGT